AGATGCAGAAGCTTGGTTGGAGAGGAAAAGATATTGTGCCTGCACAGCTCAGTATTTCAAGGCTAGGACACAATGGACTCAAAGCTGAAGAAAACAAATTTCCTCATTTTAAGACCGGCATTGTTAAATTTTTGATCTTCTGCCCATTTAGCTGATACTGCTTGGTAAACTAGGGTGATGTCTGAACTGCACAGGGAGTGCAGAGGGATGAGAATTCAGGGAGTTCCAGCAGAGCTAGAGGAGCTGGGCTGAAGGGAACTTGTTCTGTACCAGCACCTGACTGCTGGCACTGGGACTTAGAGAAACAGTGGAGTCATGTCAAACATGAGGAGAGGGCAAGGCAGCTGGTAAAGAGATATTGTTGCTTGATTGTGTATCTTTGGATTAGAAAGATCATTTTAATCCCTACCCTTCTGGCTTGAAGTAGGTCAGGAATTTTCCCATGGGAATTTAATATTATCTGATCAGTTAGACGTCAATAATTGAACTAAGACAAAGATTCATAAAAATATCAAGCCTCATGTAAAGGCTTCAGCCAATGGAGGATGTGTTCCTGTTGTTGGATTATTGATTAGTTATCATCTCTTCATATTTTTTGATCTATTTCCAACCTCAGTCAGGTCCATAGATTTTATGGTAGTTTTGTGTGGTTGATGCAAGAGTCTCATCAATGCTGTGTGATGCAGTCAGGATGCTTGAGATGTGTTCTTCTTTTAGAATAAACTGGCAGCCCTTATGACAGTGAGGAAGGCCTCAGGTCATCGTCCATCCCCCCAAAGAGAAAACCACCCAGAACCCACTCACCTTTTTCCTCTTTTTCGTTTGAGTTAACAGGTGGAGTTGACCCTTCCTGCAGCTCAAAGGCTTTGTTGATGTTTTCAGACACTTGGTCAGCACTACTGGACTCCAATTCCGACCTGTGCAGCTGATCCAGCACTGCCTGTGCTATGGGGACCATCATGGCAGTGGTGGCCGTGTTGCTGATCCACATCGACAGGAAGGCAGTCACGACCATGAAACCCATGAGAAGTCTGGAATGAGAAGGGTTGGAAAAACTGGATCAGAACTCGGCACTGCAATGCTCTATTTTTTTTTGCAAAGATTTGACTACAAGTGCTGAATTTGGAACATGCTCAGCAATTCCCACCCAGCTCTTCCTCTTACCCTGATCCACTTTGTGAATGACACAGTGAGATGTAACATTAATTTTTCTTTTTTCCAATTTCAACCATTTCTTTACATTCCTATGACCAGGAAAGTGGAACCTGGTAGCTTGGATCAAACAATTTACCTAGTCAGGTCTTGCTTATTCCGCATGCTTCCGAGGAAGACATGCCTTCTCAATAACACGGGTTAATGCATTATAATATCTTTTAAAGAGGAATTACAAGCTGAATTTGATCCCAAATGGCAATCAGTTTAAGCCATAAGGATGAGGATCCCTATTTTTCTGTAATTTTATCCCACCTCTATTATTTAAGATTCTCTTCTTACGCATCTAAAATTCTAATCCTCGTTTCAGTATTACTCTGTGATTTGCCTCAAAATTATTCTTTCGATGAGATGTAGATTATATATGAGAT